GCAATGTGGGGAGCTGTTGTAGACTTCAAACATTGGAGCCAACACGGAACTTTGCCCACGATTTGCAGGAACTGTCCGGAGCCAATACCACCGGCAGCAGATCTATTGTCAGTGTCTGGCACCGGGCCTGGATGCTGCAGCAATGCAGACACATGCATCTCTGACTGCATGATTTTGCCTACACGCTTGTGGCTTCCTTTGGCCGGGTTATTGGTCGTGCTCGAGAAATCTTGGGAGTCTGATTCTAAAACTCGCACTCCAAGGGGTGTCTCGTCGTAGCGTCTTTTGATTGAAAAAAAGATTGTCTTCCAGCCTTGTTTCTGCAACCGTTCAAGATGCTCAAGCAATCCTTGCCATAGCCTTGAAGCTGCTTCTGCCACAGCCGAAGCTGTTCTCTTCAGATCGTTCGCATCATGATGTTGACTAGCTGCTGCTGACATGATGCACCGCCGGCCCTGGAAAAGCAATGCCTCCACAGGGTTGACGGTGTCGGGCTGCACAAGACGCTCCTTTTGAGCAACTGCCTGCCGCATGATGAGGTCTTGCAGCGGAGTCGGTGGATACAATCTGGAGCTCAAAAGAAGGCTTTGATGGCCAACATCAGCTGAGGAACAGCCCATGTCAGACCCAGCATTGCCACACCTCTGCTGTCCCGACCCTGCTGACAGGGCATTCTCTTTGGCAGCAGCAACCGCTCTTCTCAACAAACCTGAGCCAAAGGTTCCTGGTGGCCTCCCGCGCCCTTTGGCTGGCAGCACAGGCTGTGATGGCTCTGACCCTCCAGATTGTGACGGTTCTGCATCGGCACCAACAAGTTCTTTAGCAACCGATATCCATGACTCCATTGGTACAAAAATGACAGCAACTCAATCTCGAACAGCTCATCGACAGTTCCAGCGAGACTTCGGCTGGCCCTGCGAAGATCCCATCTGCAGACCGCAAAAGCGGCTGAAATCAAATTTCTGACATACCTTAGCCTTAGCAAGGGTCTGGGCCATTGACAAAGCATATGTGACATAGCATTGCATTCTCACCCTGCTAGACTCCTAGAGTCCTAGACTGATAGACCCAAGGTCAAGGGCCTCAAGTTTATGCACGAAGAGAATGTTTGATGCGGCTGTGGCTGTCATGTGAGGCTCCTCTCTAGAATCCGAGCCAAGCCCCTGCAGTCCAAGCCAAGCAGCATCGTTCGAGAAGCTTGACCCGGACAATCCGGAAACTTAGTCAAAGCCCTGGAAGAAGCACAGTGAAGCCGACCCATTACCCTGACTATGACTATGGCTTTTGTTCCTATAGAATCTCCTGGCTTCAGACCCGGTGCTAGCTGTTGCAAGTCATTCGGATGAAATACCTAGCCGACCTCGCCGCAAGCAATCGACCAACATAGCACAACAACTTCATGCTGCACTGACCATTCTCCGAATGAGTAGTAAAAACGGACGCACTTGCCCACGGCTCACTGACGATTTCTATACTAAACTCCATATTAGTCACATTTAGATACTACTGTTATTACTGCGCATGTGGGCGTGCCTCTCCCGGTTGATGGTGAGCCAAAGCTTCGCATTCGTCTTGACGGTGATGATGTAGTAGCCCCCATGCCGGAAGTGCAAGGTTTGCAAGCCGAGACAGAACCTCCAGGATGTCAGCGTGGCAGCGAGCAAAGTGATACGTGCTGGTGCTAGCTGCTAGGTCCGGCTAAGCTTTGATGGGGGTTGAAATTGTTGCATGCTGAAGCGCACTACCTGGCTCCACTACACAAACAAAGATTGAGACCTTCGCAACCTAGGACCTTGGCCTCAGCAGCCGACGTTTCAGCCCAACAAACCCAAAGTGCAACGAGCCTCTGCTTCGGAGTCTCGGTCACTGAAGTGCTGTATACCGTGTCGAAGCCCTCGACTTGCTCCATGACAGCAAGAACCGGTTCAAACCGCTGCAAGAAGTCATAAGCTTCATTGAATGTCACCCTGTAGTCCTCATGTTCCTTGACCGAGCCATTAACATAGCGTTTAGGCCTTTGCTTCGAGAAGGGATCACAGGGTGTGCCCATGCAACAGAAGGTGGGGGAGCTTGGCACAGGACATCCCTCACCCTCCGGATGGAGGGTGCACGGCAGGCCACATCTTTGATCGGACATGCAGGAATGAAGATGCTCGACACTGCTGGCATGGTTCGCAAGGATGAAACTCCTGTAGGCCCCCACTGGCTCGGATGCGCTCGAGATCCCAAACGGAATTCCCAGCTCCTGCACACCACGCGCACATTTTCCGAAAGCTCCACAAACGCAATCTGCCACAAAGCCTCAAATCATCAGCAACGCAATCACGACTGACTTGCAACACGGTTACAGTATTATGTGGTTCAATAGTCAATACATAGTGCCGTGTGACCAGTCCTTGAAGACCGTAGCTTCAGGCAGAGCGCCACTGCATGCTGAAAGGCAAGTCACAGCCTCTTTCGGTTGCGGCACTTGCAGCCGGAGTTCGGCTGTGATCTCAAAAAGCAGCCGTGCCCACCAAACCGGTGGAGACCTCTCTGACTCTTCCTCACACACTGGATTGGCATCATCTCCTAGATGGCTCACCATATCATCTGAGGAAGCTTGACTGAGCACAATCTCATCGGCTACCGCTGCCCAGCTTCCCAGCCAATCCATGGCATCAGGTGTCCCTGGAGTCGTCATCACTGCTTAGGCTCAGTATCAGAGACAACACGACGGCGCCACCAAAGTCTGGAGGACACAACAGCAGCAAGGCAACTTTGTGATAACTACAACACATGAGCACACTGAACACTGGCTAGACTCCTAGGTCCTAGACATGACTACACAGAGCAATGATCACAAATGTGCATCTCGTACACGAAATCAATCCCGGGCTTCATGAGGTCCTCCGAGCTGCAAACCAAACAAAGCTGGGCAGCGACGGGTGCAGCCTTTAATTCTGATACTGGGTAACAATACCGGCACAGGTGATTGAGAGTTGTTAGCCATCAGCTGCATTATCTCAGTATCTCGCAGGATGTCAGCCGTTGTGTTTTGTCTGCTGTGCGAAGTCATGCTCTCACTTTGGGCCGTGAAGACCCGGGCACCAAAGCCACGAATCCCCCCAACCGCAACACTTTTCGCGTGGATGTCTCCAGAGATTTCCTACACTCCAAGGCCACACGTGAGCATGATGTCGCGAAGAGCTAGAGTCAGCCAGAGTCAGGGCGAGGCATCGGATCTCTTGGCCAACACGAGACATGAGAACCTAGATTCCAGACTGCGAGTTCTGTGGTTTTCGGTTCATTCATCTTACCATGATTGAGGTGGAGGAATGCTTGTCCTGCAGGCTGCTCGTCTCTCAGGAAGCCAACCTCACTGTCAGCGCATTCGTCGATCAGCCATCCCCACGGCCTGTGATGCGGAGGGTGGTCTGTTCTCCAAGCATAAAACCAACACCATGTGGCCCACCTCGATGCTTTCTGCCACCAGAGCTCGCCGCTTGACCTCGGGATAGGAGAGGTCAGGAAATCGAGCACCAAAGGAACCAGTGCTAGCCGGCTAGCCAACACTACCTTAGCCTTAGCCGCTAGCCTTAGCGGCTCGCGACAGCTGAAGTCCAAGGTTCGGGCAACCGGCAATGATGAGGAAACGACCTCCTGGCAGGTAAGAAAACTCGCTTCTGCAGGAGCTGACCAGACGGAATAGCAAAATTTACCCGCATTTAGCCGTGATCCGATATGTCAGCACCACCACGACAAACTCCAAAAGCCAGGCCTCTCTGCGTCCGCACTCACATTCAAGTCGAAGCTGCAGCCGAGTCGATGGCACCTGGAGCCAGACTAGGGGGCCGGGGCTCGTGGGTCTGGAGTCTAGATTGCGAGTGGGGACGGGAAGCAGAAGCAGGCCCTCACACTCACAGACACAACAACCCCAAAGCCACAGAAAAACCCCAAATCCAAGTCCGAAAACCCCCAATCGAAACCCTTCTGAGGATCGCCGCCGCCACAGCACAGGCATACCTCGGACGAGGCTCGGGACCGGCAGGTGAGAAAAACCAGTTTTGCGGGAGCTGACCAGATGGATTAGCAAAACTTAGCCGTGATCCAATGAAGGTCGATATCCAACAGAATCCAACAGCACCACCACGATCAATGCAAAACACAAACTCCGAGCGCCAGGCATCTCTGCATCCGCGAAGTCGCCGCTGCGGCCGAGTCGATGACCTGGAGCCAGACCGCAGGGCCGGTGCTCTCGGACGGGTGGGTCTAGATTACGATCGGGGACGGGAAGCAGAAGCAGGCCCTCACTCACAGACCAAAAAACACCAAATTCAAATCCGAAAACCCCCAACCGAAACCCTTCTGAGGATCCCTGCCGCCACCGCCAGAGCACAGGACAGGTATTACCTCGGCCGAGGATCGGGACCAAACGACATGAGTGCAAAAATGAAACGGCTCCAATGCACAACCGCTGCACTCCGATCTACACCGAAACTGCAAAACCCCAAACCGCACCCTTGCTCAAACTGAGGTTCCAGCATGTGTCAACTCCAACGCCAAAAGGTCCTGCAAAGGCAAAGTCAGACAATGAATGCACCAGGAAGAACAAACTAAGTAGAAACTAGAAACAAAGCCCCGAAGAAGAACAAGCAGCAAGCATGCAACCCTGCGTGCAGCATGCGATGCGGGCAAAAGCACTCCCACGGTCCTACACTCGGGGCCGAAGGGGTTTGGGTGCCCTGAAACCTAATGTCGGGACAATTGGGCTGAGGTTGGGATCGGGATAACCACGAAGCTCTCTTTCAGTGATTTTGCAGCACAACAGAGGTCGCCCAGCTTGTCGTAAGGGCTACAGCTGATGATAGCCAACGATGGCCGCTGGCCGATTGGGAGTACTCACTTCATCGTCTTCATGGCCCCATGGCCTTCATCGACTTCATCAGCTTTGGCCCAGGTTAAAAAAGCCGCCCATAGCCATAGCCAATGGCTCATACGCCGATAGGTCCGATAGGTACTCACTTCATCGTCTTCATGGCCTTCATCGACTTCATCGCCTTTGGCCCAGGCTTGCCATGGTTGCCACACTTGTTGCTCATGGCCTTCATCGACTTCATCGCCTTTGGCCCAGGCTTGCCATGGTTGCCACGCTTGCTCATGGCCTTCATCGACTTCATCGCCTTTGGCTTTGGCCCAGGCTTGCCATGGTTGCCACGCTTGCTCATGGCCTTCATCGACTTCATCGCCTTTGTCTTAGCCATGGCCTTCATAGGCTTGGGAACCTTTTTCGCGTGGCCTTTGACTATGTCCTCGAGCTTCGGCTGCTCATAGGGCTGTGACGTGAACACAAGGTATGTGTTCAGCCATCTGAAGCCCTCGCGCTCTTCCTGTGCCACGATCTGCACAATGTCGAGGGGCAACTTCACCGATGTCTCGCACTGCACAAGCCCATCGCGGACGATCTCCACATTCATTTCGGTCATGCTTCCCTTACCTACTTTGCTCTATCGGAGCCCTATCGGATAGGCCCTATCGGCCCTATCGACCAGAGGCTACAAGCCTTGGGAACCTGATTCTGGAATGTGCTTGCCACTATGCTGCTATGCCGCTCTGCTGCTATGCCGTCATGTATGCTGCTATGCTGCCCGAGGACTTCAAAAGTGCCACAGCAAACTTCGTGATCCAAAAGCACTGCGGCAATCCGAAAAATCACTCACGATCATGCTGAAAACCAAACGAACTGGATCTGCGCGACGACGGTCCTGCAGCTCCAGCTCGCCTCTGGATGTCCATGGCTGCAGCTACCTTGGAGACCTGATGCGGGTATGGGTACTACCAGGGATGTGAATAAGTCCGTCAGTCGGCTTTTCAAGGGTATGCCATGCCATGCGCAATGCCGCTATGCCGCTATGCTGCATCTGCAGGGTCCCTCTATAAGCTGTCTTGGTGCCCTACCGTGTCGTTGTGATTTGACCCGCTGCTCAGCGAGGCGCATGCGAAAGTGAACAGAAAAGCACAGCGGATCCCGACAATTTCCAACCAAGCCACTTCGAAGGAAGAACAGCAAAACACTCAGAATGCACTACTGGTCGAAATTGATCTAGCTTGCTATACACTCCTTAAATGCGCAGACTCAAGGCCGACATCGAAGGATCAAGAGCAAGACGCTGTGCTCTGCCGTTTCGAACCTGATACCTCTACCTGCATAATACAAAGAAGATAAATCAAACACACAAACAATGGCGACATGCTAAATCGGTGGTAAATGTTGCATGCCTGATGATTGGAAAGGCCGAGAAGTAGACGTATGTATTTATATGTGTATGTATATTTATCTATACATGTGTAAACAAAAATAATGAATAATGTATCTACCTAAGAATAATGAATAATGTATCTTTTCAATTCTATGTACACACACATACGTTTCTGTAGTTATATAGATATGGGTTTTTTGTGCGTCCATATCTATGCACGTATATGTGTATACCTGACAAATCGCATGTGTAGAAAGAGCCACACAGTGTGGTTCTTGCCTTTTTCTTTTTTCTCTCATTCTCTCCGTTCCGCTGTTCTCCCGCAAATCTGAAGTGTTGTTCAATTGTTCAAATTTGGGAATTTGTTTCAAAAGGTGTTCGTGTTGCATTTGTTTTCAGCATGTAACGTATTTAATCCAAAATAGGTTTCCGTATTTTGACACAATTCCCACAACCTGTCGTAATTTGTACAACTTACTTTCATATGTCATATTTCCCATATGTTTTCCTTTTGTTTCAGTAAGTTTTCGCTATTTTAACCTTGTTCCAGCCAGTCCTTCCAATCGTTTCATAGCTTTTTGTTCATTTTATGATATGATTTCATACGTTTTGATATTTTCTAATATTCTAATATGTGTTTACATAATTTTCATATTGAAAATGTATTTACACAGTATTTCTCATACTTATTTGCATACTCGCATCACATTTTTCATATTTTCGACCATATTTTTTCATATTTTGTTTCATATTTTTTCATATTTTTTTCATATTTTTTTCATATTGTTTTCATATTGTTTTCATATCCAATTTTCAACCCATATTGTTTTCATATTTGCACTTCATATTTTTTCCATATTGTTTTCATAAAAAAAAATAATTTTACAGGATGATATTTTTGCAAGCTTCGAAACTCTCAAAAATAGCCTCAGGGATGGCTTGCAACGCCTTGTGAGCGCGAATAAATTTGAACACATCACGTTTGTTGCTAGCCCAGCTCTGCTGCATGCGGAGCTTCCACGCAGCCAGGCGCTGCCGCTCGAGAAGCTGCTGTTCACAATGGATCTCATTGCGGACCTGAGCGGAAGCATGTGACAGGTCTTGAAAAACGAACCCAACACAAAGCTGTGAGAAAGAGCGCTGAATCGCGGCTTGGAGTGAGGGCTCAATCCATCCCCGTTTGGCGTGGCAGAGGGAAGCCTCCTGGATGCGACGTTGCAACCGGTGCAATCTGGTCACTCTGATCGAAAATCCACTCTGGCCAATCCTTGCAACCGGTGCAATCTGGTCACTCTGATCGAAAATCCACTCTGGCCAATCCTTGGCGGAAAAAGGAGACGTTTACGCACAACTGGCGCAAGGCCATGGTCACAAGAGTGAACTAAAGTCTGGTCGCCACCACGGGCGTGCAAAAACCGGTGACATGTGCAACATAAGAGATGCCAGGCAGAATCCACGTCGCGGCGCTCAAAGGTGCGACTGCCAGCGCGTCCGTATGGGGCGAAAGCAAGACTCCGCAAGTGTGTCAACTTCATTGGCATCAAGCTTGGGCGCAGGCAAAGGCTTAGGTCCCCTAAGAACCCTAGTAAGAACATTGAAGGCGGGGAGCCTAAACCGAACGATTAGGGCCTTATGGTTGGGAATATCAAACTGGCCAAAGTGGAAATCCGAAACAAGCGGCCTGGCGTATTGGTTGCAAAAGATGGCGTCGATGCGACTGGAAGTGGCGCATTTATGTCTGACAGCATGAAAAGTGGGTTTGGCCCCTGCCTCGGCCCCTAAGTCATGCCATCCACCCGCAGCGCAAGCGCTGAGGCAGGTAGGACTATCGTTCGGGTCAACGTTGAAGTCACCGCAAATGACACACGGGCCAGGGCCATAGAGAGCCGCCCAGGCAAACACTGAAGCCAGCAAGGTTTCAATACGAGCGAACTTGGCAGGATCCTTGGCAGCACCGGATATGCCGTACACAGTGAAAACATGCAACGAGCGGCGGCCATCAGCAATGGCAACTGAGACGCCAAGTGCACGGCCCGCTTCATACCACTCAGCAACATCAGGAGGGCGTGGCAGCGACGTGGTCGGGGAACGAGTCAGCAACACCCCCTTGGGCACGGACAGGCCCGCCACACAACAGGCGCCCTCCACCAGCACGCACAGTACGAGTGGCTTCGGCCGCCGCACGCTTAGCATTCAGTCGGACCTTGACAGCGGCGGGGAAGTTATCAAAAAACTTATGTCGGGATTGCCAAGCAGTAATGTTGGCAGACAACAGCTCCGGAGCTGCTCCGGAGCGCTGTGAGCACCAGCATCGAACGGAAAGGGCTCGACCTTGACACAAGCAGTATTGCACTCAGACGCGGGTTCATTGGAGGACCAGGGGCTAGGCACAGGGAGGAAGGCATCGAAATGATTATAGCCGTTGTAAGCCAACAAAATGATTGCTCACCGCTTCCAAAACCGACAGAAGGTGCGGCAGGCATAACGACCCGAATGCAGATCTTAAACCGCGAAACTAAACCCTGCAGGCAAAGTTCGTCGCCGTACTCACCTTCCTGAGACATGCGAGTGCAAAAGGTTTAGCGCTCCGCATCGTGGAAAAACCTTTCAGACAAACAGGCGTCATCTTTGATACTCGCAACACACATGGACCGAAGTTGCGAGGGCGAGATGTCCTCCCCGCGCACAGCCTTGAGAGCCTGTGAAAAAGCCGCAAACATGCAATTACCATCGCCTGGGATGGCAACATAGAAGTGACCAGCAGGGACGCGGTCACGCAGCAAACGCCGAGCCTCGTGAAAACGGTGAGTTTCGGCAGAGTGGTCACACAATGACCTGCGGATGGCTTCAGAAACCTCATCATGAAAGCCACCCCCACGCATGGATGGCAAGCATTGAACAGACTGTCTTCACGGCCCGGGCGCCGGGGCAGCGGGAGCACGCAAGGTAGCAAGCTGGCTCAAAACCTTGTCAAAACCAGCATCAAGCTTGGACTCAAGAGATCGAGTACGCACTTCTTGCTCAAGACGGGTCCAGTACGAAGTTCAAACACATCTTCCGACGAAGACGTGTCAGAGCTCAGAGGAAAGATCAGATTTGCCCCGCGCCGGACAGGCTGATTGACAATCACATCCCATTTGAGGCGAGTGCGCAGCACCGCAGAAACCTCAGCCGAACTTGTGCCGTCAGGAAAACCATAGGCCGACCAGCGAAGACGGCCAGCAACCCCCCTGTTGTGATCATTGTATCTCGCATCAGTAGGCTTAGCAAGAGAACGCACCAAACTGACAGAGTTTAAGGCAACCCGAATGCCAAACCGGACTTATTCTGCTGCAACCCATAGTGTTTGGGCAGTTTGCGAAGCACAACACGCGACTCAGCAAGTGACAAGCGCCCCAACCATTCGATCGTGAACTTTTTGTCGAGCTCTTCCTTGCGATCAGCTGTCCTCCAAACTGGCTGCACAGTGAAAGGGCCAGACACAGCTGGTGCCGCCAGCAGCGGCTCAAAAGCAGGGGATGGCACACGGGCAATCACCCGATGCATCTCGTCAGACAGCTTGCGCCACGCATAAAACTCAGTGCGAGCGCGGTGTTCAGAAGCAATCTGCTGGAGGACTGCATCACGCAGCTGGGTACGTACGTTGGACACAAAACCAGGCCAGTCAACGCCATCAGCCTCGTAATTGGAGCGGCAGGCAAGGACGGCCACCTCAGCAGTAGTGCCCGGCGTAAACTCCTCCTGAGAATGAGCCTTCAACTTGATGGGAGCGGCACCCAACGGGATGAGCATAACATTTTTCAGCTCTTTCCTCTGCAAGGAAGGATCCATCACAACAAGAGTGCAAGTGATCCTGTTCGGAATCGAAATGATGGAGCCCGGAAGATTTTTCAACCAATGTCCCGGGATCTCAAGAGCGAGGGGAGACTTGCTGGCGATACCCTCAACCTCAGACAACTGATCCCGTCTGGCGGAAACAAGTCCGGAGGCATCAACCTTGAGGTCCTTGAAAGCCAGAGTTGCAAGCTCAGTCTCGAACTGACCGTCAACAACGGAGAGCTCGTGCCAGGCAGCCCGACGTGGGCCAGCAGGGCGAGAGGGCACCGACGAAGGCTCAGATGCCTCTGGCATTGTAATGTCGTCGTCGAACCTGGCCCACGGGTCAAAGACTGAAACATATTGATTACAATCAATAAGGGATGCCCAGGGTAAGAACCTTAAGGGTAGTAACCTCATCTATTCCTTGTTGTATACCTTTCATGTCTTTGCGTGAATCAGCTGCACGGCGCCAGAGCATGGAGCTCACAGCCCAACGCAAGATATGAAGGAAGTACTCATCAGAATGCTGCAGAAGATGAAGAGTGAGATGACGCGAGTGACCAACTGGCACTTTGAACACCCAGGGTTCAAGCCAATCCCAATTAAGTTCACGGCAAATTTGAGAGAGGACTGCTGCAACGGGCCCGACAGCGTTGGATCTAAAGTCTTTAAACTTATCTCTTTGTTTTTGAGTCTTAAGAGTCTTAAGCCAAATGTGTGACCACAGCTGGCACATGCTGGGGTGCTTTCGCAACTGGCGTCTGATGGTGATGAAACGCTGGATAAGTCTGATTTGCGTAGGATCCGCTTTATGACCACGGAAGCAGAGGGTCAAGACAATATCGTTTGATTTGCACGAGCACTCGGACCAAACCGCGTTAACAACCGCCTTTCTGACCCGGGCCTCAAGTTTGCGTGTGCATGCACCAAGTTCAACGCCAAAGAGAAACTTAGCAGCACCTGCCGTTGCCAACAAGGTGTACTTAGCATTGATGCTAAGCGGACAAATGCTTATGCGGCGCGCAACCTCAAGGTACTTAGCGGCTCTTTGATTAGCAAGCCAACGAGCCCTGCGTTTGGAGAAGCAGAGATGTCCTCCAAACAATCTGTCATCACTGACAACTTTGAGAGGCTTGCCATCAAGCGTGACAGAAGACACCTGCTTACGAGCTAAAGCAGTGGTCGCGTAGGTGGCACACTTTTTGAAATTGACGACACCATCGACACAGCGATCAAATTTTTCAGTGAAATGCGCAGCTTCTTGAAGCTGAAGAGACGTCTGTGCTTCGCATGTTGCGGTCATCAACATAACCGCCAAGAGAGCACAAAGAAAGGGACTGCCGGGATTGGATGGAGTAGACTGAGTAGACCCATGCACTAGTCAAGGCATTGATGCGCAAGATCGCAAGCGGGCAGCCTTGGGAAATGGAATTAGTATTAGCAAACTTAGGGCCTATGGAGGAACCCAACTTAAAGCGGTGCTGTATATTGACAGCGAAGGCATACATGGGACCTATAAGACATTTTGGGGCATGCCAAGGTCGCGGAGCAGACCTCGTTCGATGGGCCAAGCAACGTTGTCAAAACACTTACAGTAATCATAGAAAATGCCAAACAGGGGCCTATTGGAACTGACACAAATTTCAGCATCCAGTGACTATCCAGTGCAACCTCAAAGTAAGCATCAATGGCCTCTTTTCCTGGGACGCCACCTTTGAGTTGAACAGGCAACCATTGCACGTGCCATGCTTGCAGCTGAAGAAAGCGCGTGCGCGCCCACACACGGTAGAGGATGGGCGTCAACGAGATAGGTCTTACATCCAAAGGGCTGCAGCCTTCACCTTTGCGCAGAGTGGCAATTGGAACCTCACATAAGACAGTAGACCATTTTTCAAGTGCTTCAATTGCATTATAAATTTCCGTCAAAGAAGTCAATTGCAACAGGGCTCAAGGCCTGCAACTCACGCACATTCCAACCATCAGCACCAGGGGCAGATGGTCGGAGAGCACGACTGGACTCCGAGACCATATCGCAGCTGAGAGGAGGTAGTGCAAAGAGGTTCTCAGCAGTGTGTTCACGCGAAGTTGGAAGGCAATCAAGAAAAGACTGAATGAAATCAGAGTATTGAGGAGCCGGGCGCTCAAGATAGCGATTGAAAATGGGAGACCATTCTTTGAGCATCATCTCATGCAACTCTGCATGTTTCGTAATGAACTCGTGTTATTTTTGCTCATTTTTAAAACAAGGGGTGACGTAGGGCTCAGCATCTCGAACCCACGCATAGGTGAGTTTGCGACTGCCATCCCAGTCTTGGATGAGACGAGACTTATGCTGATCAATGCGATGGTCACGCAGAGACTGCTGGTAAGAAGTGATACGCTTGCCAAAAGAGTCATGCAAGGCACCAACTTCACGAGAATCCGGCATGGCAGACACAAAATCGATGGGCCCACTAGGATACAAACGATTCCAAGTCTGCTGGACGTTGGCACATAAATTGAGGAGCTGCTCATGAGCAGAAGTGCCAGCGGAAACATGAGAGCGCAATTTCGTGCACAGCTGAGAAAACTTTCTTTCCAACTTAAGCATGGATGCGAGCCGATTGTCAGCGGTGCCATGCTCACGGGTGGCAGGAGGCGCCTGCACCGGAGTCTGAACAACCTTAGGCTCTTGACCGCGACCAAAAAGTTTACGAGTAACACTTATGTGCTGTGATGAAGCAACCGAAGCACAGAAACGCTCAGCATGCTTTGTCCACAAGTTGAAGGCGGCATCAACATCACCTCTCTGCAAAGCCTCACGGGTGGAGGAGCGCAAGTGCTCAGGCCAGTGCAAGGCATCAAACCTGCAGCATTGATCAGGAGTTGGAGGCGAGAGGTCTCTGAAAGCATGAGGGGTGCGATAGACAAACTTATGATCAACATACTCAGGGAAATTGACTTGCAATAGCAAAGGACAGTGGCCAGTCAGGCCAGTATCGCGTAAGATGGCCAACGAAGAAACATAGGGCAAGAAGGCATGGCTGCAGAGTGCTAGATCAATGCGCGTGCGCATGCTGACATTGTTGCCTTGCTGATAGGTCCACTGACTATCAGTGCAAAGTGCACCAAGATCACAGAGCACACCTGAAGCGACCGCCTGGCCAAGAGCATGTGATTGGCTAGGATTGGTCTGAAAGTCGCCGACGGCGAGGACTGGGACATCCCCCAAAGACATTATTTCAGTTATAACCGCGGCAAGAAAATCCCCATTAAGGGCAAGGGCATTAGGAGTTTTGGGGCTCGCGCCTACATACCCGTAGATGTTGAAAACATAGAACCCGCGTGCCCCGATGCCACTGGGGATCCATGTCAAAGTTCATTTGCCTGAAGTGAAAACTGGAAGTGTGGAGACGATGCTCTTGCACGGCAAAGGTTGCCGAGCAACAGTGGCTAAGCGTCAAGAAAGCTGTATGAAGAATCAATGCCGCGGATTATTGCAAAATTCTTTCGCACGGAGGTCACGTTAGCCGAAAGGATAGACAGCTGCGGACCATCAGCGGCAACGTCTGAGGAAAACATTGGGCCAATGGCAGCAAAAAGGCGTGAAGAAAAACAAGTCTGACCAAGGCACGCGGGACTTGAAATCGCACCGCCACCTACATTCGCGAAGGCAGGCGCGTTGAGGAACGGGCCTCAGCGAAGGAGAAGCAGATGCGACAGGACGCAAAAGTGAGAAAAGGCAACACATACCAGTGATGCGCCTGGCAACGGGTATGCCACGAGAGAGACGGCAGCAAACACGGAGCGAGGGGCTTTGCCGGCAGGGCTGGCTTTTGCCGAAGCAGAGGTCGCCTCGATCAACCTCTCCTCCATGCCTTTCTGCTGTTGCTTCAGTTCTTGCACCTGTTCAACAAAACCCGATGCAAGCTTTTTAACATACGCGGCAGTTTCCTTAAGTTGTTGCTCAACCACAGTCTGTGCAGCACGAGACTTCTCACATTCCTGGTCGAAAGCCTGACGAATGGACTGGATTCGCTCACTAACAGTAGTATTACTGCACTCTGCACGCATTGCATTAATCTGCTGCGAGACCTCTTGACGAAGAGTTTGCATCAAACCATCAACATGTGCAGTGAGACGAGTCTCAGCATCCACAATGTGGGATTCCACAACAGCTTGCACTTTGGGTGGGGCGGGAGGCGGGGTTTTAGGCGTAGGTGGCTGAAACGAAGGAGAGACAGAAGCCACCTGATCGCGCTTGAAACGAGCCCAAGGATCATTGACCTGCAAAGGGTCTTCAGCCTCAACAGAACCGACAGTAGGTGCAGAGGGAGGCCGAGCACCATCTTTCACGATGGTAACGGTTGTATCAGCAGTGCCAACAAGCCAAACGCAGTTAGACGCAGCAAGGGGCCAACTTTTGACCGGAATGGTAACCCATCCCCAGTCACGCAGACCAGTGGCCACAGCCGTAGCGGTCGTGCCACTCGGAAGACCTTGAACCTGGTAAAAAGCCTTTGCAACCACAGCAACATTGTCAGAAGTGTAAAGGTCAGGAAGGCACAGTCGCGTGCATTGGCGATGCGATCAGCACTGAAACGAAGGCTCTTGGAGCCAGTGGAGGAACGATGAATACCACTAAGCCCTGCTAGTCCCGAAGCAACCCTAACAGCCTTATCCCAATCTTTTCACGAAGATGGGACTGGTGGATGAGAGCAAGCGGAAGAGAAGGAGTACCGGTTCTCCACTTCTCTTTGGTAAAAATACCATCTGGGCCACTTCGCTTCAAGACGTTTGCAAGCTGTGCAGCAGGTACCTTAACAAGACCATGCAACGTGGATAAGCGAGAGTGGACAGCATATGTTTCACGAACAACATGCTCAGAAATGGCCGCCTGAACAATCTGTTTGAAAGCAAGCCGGGGATTTTTGTCGATCTCCTGCTGCATGAGAGCGTCAACCTGACCGATCTCGACATCAACAGCAACCTCAACCACAGGACCACAGGATCCGGGGCAGTGAAGGTGACATCAGGTTTAGTCTCAGCGAAAGCAACAGTGAAGCCTGAGGATCCGGATGAGGAAACAGGGCTGGCTTGGGTGTGGAAATGCCGCTGTTGGAATCATACAACGCAACCATACGCTCACTGTATTTAACTGCAAAGCGGCGGAGATCTTGGGCGTCTGTGGAGCAAGCATGGCTAAAGGTGCATTGGAAGTGATTCCAAGAAAAGACTCAAACTCAGAGGCGCCAGCAAGAAAGACACCAGTGGCGGCAGAGTGAACCTTGGACAACGGCACAATAGGCACAGGATTCGCAAGAGCATCAACAAAGACTAGACACAAGAGTAACGTAGGAGGAAAAAGGATGCCCTTTTTGGTTTAAAGGGGCTTATAAGGGAACCTGAACCCTTAAAAATGGAGCAAGGGCCTACTCTGGGTCCTAGAAGATTGAGTCAGGCCGCGGCGTGAGATTGGACCACGGGGTTCGTGTTGTTTGTCCAATCTGCGTCTGCTTACTCTTGCCTTTACCTGCACCTCTACCTCCTGAGTTGGAGTTGTTTGAACAAAACGGAGTGTCATGGATCAAGCGTCCCACCTCAAAGAGTATAGGCCCTTCTGCAAATGCTCTTGTGCCCTTTGTTTCTTGTTACTGTCCTGGAGAACAGCTTTGGCTGATTCCTTCATCCACGCCTGGGTCATACCCAACTTCTTCATGACATCAGTAAGATCTTTCATGGACATATTCCCATTGAGAGCATGAACAGTACGATTACTCATGCGCCGGGTCGGAAACCAAGCGTAGCAGCAATCGAGACACTTGCAAATGTCGTAAATGGCCTTGCAAAGAAGATGGCTTCGACCGCCTTTGTCATGAGATCTGCGCTGGCGGATGCAAGTGTAATGGCATAACCTGTACCTTCGACCTCCAACAAACCTGCAACGCACAAATGCGGGCTTCTTAGATTTGAAGAAAGCAAACAGGAGGGCGCTGAGCCATCTCACAAGCTGCCACCATGCAAACTCAGATGGACAATCCAAGTTAGGAAGCACATAAGGACATGCAGAAAGAGCCATTCGAAAGACAATGGCTCTGCATTGCAGTACACTGAGTGAATGCTGGGGCACATCGCGGGATCAGTGCAGACGATCAAGCACATGAGGATCGAATTGCATACCTGATTCAAACACTTTGTCGCAGTTGCAATAGCAGCGGCACAGCCATGATGCATCTCTGAGCGGCTTTGTAGAGGACGCCCTGCAGCTGACCTCATCCAGGCCTCACGTGGATGATGATCCGGACGTGCGCTCAAGGAGGCCCAAGGCGATGCGGTGTAGTAGGACCTTGCGAAGCTGTCGTAACCGAACTAAGGGTTGCCGCCAGCATAAAAGAAAACATCATGCCACACTTTTCGGTCGACCCTTTCGGGCAGGCATACCAACTGGAGCAGATTTGCAATCTTTCTTCATCCATGTCCGAAGATAGCTCTTCGAAACAGACTGTTTGCAGAAGGCACAAGAAGGCTTGTAGATATCTTCAATGAAATGTCTACCACGCGTAGCAGCATGCTTGTTGTGTTCATCCACGTCAATTTGAAGCTTCGCGTTTCTGGTCTCAGACAGCTTGGCAGCTCGCGTGCTAGAGCCACCCATGTCGACCGCAGAGGAAAGAGCATGGCATCGCTGTTTGCAAAATTGAGGACATAATATTCGGCTCGAGGCCTGAACTTGACCGCTGCGTTTTCGCTGTTCAACTTCGTTCACGAAAACCGAAGCAACACACTACGACGACGACGCGTATCGCATCGTCTTCAAGGGCGGATGGGTTTTAGGGTTTGGGGAAAGGGTTTGGGTTGTCTTGTGCAGTGGAAGAGAACCAAAACCAAAAAAAACAAAACCAACAAAAACCAAAAAAAACAAAATAAACAATTTTCAGACAGTCTTGATCAAGAGTTCGGGATAATGCTACTTACAGAAGACTTTCTGAAAATTGTTTTTTTTGAGTTTTTTTGTTGTTTTTGGTTTTGTTTTTTTTGTTTTTTTTGGTTTTGGTTTTTTGGTTTTTGTGATTTTGGTTCTTTTCCACTGCACAAGAACGCTGAACCTCCTTCATCCTTCGGGCTCACTGAACTGGACTAGAACTTACCTCTATCACACTCATCTCTATAAATTGCTAATACTACTACTAATGACAATGACAATAGTTATACTAGTGTTAAGACTATTTCAAGTATTCTGAGTAATACCACTAACGAAACCGCTCAAATTATCTACTAACTCTAATCAGTATCCGCTGTGTTGATGTTCTGCAAGCCGTAAAACAGCAAAAACGCAGCAGATAGATTTCCGCTTTAAACCGGTATTTCATAAGGAAACCGGAATGTCATAAAATATGGGCATTTTATATGAAGTTGTGGTAAAGTCCTTGTAAAGTATATATGGATGGGGTATTCTGTAAGGTAAATATCTTGCTACTCTTCTTGGTTCTGGATTCTCTTCATAGTAATCCTTTGCCCAATAAGCTAGAATTGAAATGGGGGCTTCTCAGATCTTGGGCTCCGAATGGTTTTGCATATTTCAAGTCCCTACCTTCAGTGTACTCTATAGGGTATTCGGGTATTCTGCAGAGGATTATAAGGGGTATCCCAGAAGGTATTCTACAGGCATGCTATATGGTGTGTGTGTATATATATATATAGTAATTATGCAAGGGGTATAGACGGTCGCATAGAAGGTATTCTACAGGGTATTCCAGACGGTGTTCTAGAAAGTATATGTAGGCTACATCGGGGGAATTGTGTAAAGTATTGCATAAGGTAGTCCAAAAGCTATTGTATAGGTTATTCCACAATGTGTTGTAGAAGGTATTCTATAGGGTATGTAAAGGGAGATGTTATCAGGTATTCTGTTCTCTATGTGTATCCCTTAGGCTTCGATTTGTTCACGGATCCTAGATTCCGCTAGCCTAGAAGGTATATCTAGGTGTTGTTCTAAACCGTGTTCTAACAGGTGTTGTCTAGTTTAGAGGGTGTTCAAACAGCTTTATACAAGGTATGTAGGGGGTTATTCTAGAAGGTCGTACCGTATGTTGTATGAACTCCTTTTTAGGTTTTTAGAAAGGGTATTCTGTAAGGTATTCTACAGGCTATTCTCTTTTGTCCACAGTGCCATGTTTTGCGCGCACTTCTCGCAGGAAGTTTAGGATGCATACACATACGTGTTCCATCCCATGTGCATGTGCTCAAGAGACACCGTGTTAGCATGGAGGACATGGTACATCATCGACCCTTTTGTTTGAAGCCCAAACGCAGCGGTCAAGTTGAACCTAATATTCATTAACAGTTTTGTGGCACCACTCACAATGAGGAGAAGCAATGTCACGGATACAGTGTCGACTTTGCACTTGCGCAGTAGCGTTGAGCACGGCAAGCTCTTCATTAACATTGTGGTGAAACATAGCAGTGCGTTTCTCCCCACGTGACAAAGGTGCACTGCCGTTGTGAACTTCTTGGAAGAAACGGCAAACGCGTTGGGCGGCAAGAACTTCGGATTGAAAAGGACCAAAAGACTGGCGCGAGCCTTTGTAAGTGATAACGGCACGGAAAAGACCAGACGCCTTGACCTTCTGCACATACTGGTATTTGGACCCACCAGGTCTTTTGCTTGTTGACAGAAGAAGTCCAAGCTCATCGCGAAGGGGGATATTCGCAGCTGGTTTTGCTTCAGGTTGTGGATGTTGGTCCACCCTGTGAGAAGCTGACTGTTTGCGAGGTTCAGGTCTTGCGAATCTTGAAGGATCAAAATCATCAGGTGGGATTGTGGTCTCAGCTTCTTTGCGAGCCTTGACGATATCCACCATCATTTCCTGAATAGCAGTGGGAAATGAGCAAGTGTGTAAAGGATGCAAGATACCATCAGGATGATTAGCATCATGTTTGGCGACAATAGCAGCAGACTGCTGCGGAGTGATGATAAAAATGCCTGTGCGCAAAGTGCAAGCAGGAAGTAAAAGAGCATCACGCTGTTGAGGTGGCTGCAAAAAACGCAACCTGATGTGCTGCCAAGAGGAACAGTGCCAGAACAAATGTTCAAGATTCTCCTCTTGCTGCCAACAATAGGGGCAAATTGGATGATCAGCCTGCCGTGTCCGGTATAGAGTCTGTTGAGTGTAAATCGCGCAAGCCAAGATGGAGCGCAGGATACCACGATCGTATTCTGATAGGCGGGATGACGAAAGAAGTTTCAAAGTTGCCATTTTGTCGACTCCTTGTTGCAAACCGCGCAATTCCTTACGATTGGCTGCTGTTCGGATCCACAGCATGCGCGAAGCACCAAGACGAACCATGTGGTTGAAGTAGCCGTCGGTATGCTTGTAAAGGTCAAGATTGATAAATTGGCCATGACCAACAGGAACATGAAACTCAAAAGGTGACGTCCACGTCCACTGTAACTGATTGCAAGCAACTTGTAGGTTGGCTAGTAAGCCAACGGAATTGGAACGGCCATCTTTAAACTTGGAACGCGCATCAATTGTGTCATGCCAGATATGTAACCAAAGCAGATTGAAGTGAGGGTTTTTCCGAAGCTGGCGTCGAGCAATAACAAACGGGTGAAGAAGTCGGAGCTGCAAAGGATCGAAAAGGTGTCCTTTGTGACAAAGCGTAAGAACAATGTCTGCAGATTTTGCTGAACGTCCACGCCACAAAGCTTGCAAGACGCTGCGGCGCAACTGGTTTTCAAGCTTTTTGTCACATGGTCCAAGTTCCAACCCGTACTTATAATGCGAGGCGCCCGCCGTGATAAACATAGTCTCCTTAGCAGCAATGTTGAGAGGGCAAATAACCACACGTTCGGCAACGGTGAGATACTTGCGTGCTCGTTTGTTGGCAATGGCACGAGACCTCCGCTTTGTGAAAGACAAGTGGCCGCCCACCAACTTGTCATCTGTAATTTGATGCAGAGGTTGTCCGCCCAAGACGACATTCGGAAGCTGCTTTCTGCCTTTGGCAGATGTAGCAAAAATGACAGTCTTGTCAGTGTTGACCACGGCATCTATCTTGTCGTTAAAAGCACTTGTAAGATCGACAACTTGCTGAAGTTGCTCAACTGATTGTGCGCGGACGTTCTTGTCGTCGATGTAACCGCCAAGTGCACACAATGAAGTGGAAGGGTGGGAAGAAAGGGAGCGAACCCAGGCAGCAACCACCGCATTGATGCGTAAAACGGCAAGCGGGCATCCTTGCATGATAGAATTCGTGTTGGGGAAAGCAGGGCCAACTGAATTGCCAAATTTGAATCGTCGCATAATTTGCTTGGAAAAAGCAAGCATGGGTCCATGAACCGATGCAGGCATACCAAGGTCGTGAAGCAAGCCCGACTCAATTTCCCAAGCAATATTGTCGAAGCATTTCTTGTAGTCGTAAAAAACACCGAACAAGGTGTGGTTGGAAATTTGCGCCATCTCAGCTTCCAAAGCAACTTGATAGTAGCAGTCAATGGCTTCGCGTTGTGGCGCACCACCACGAAGCACATCAGGCAACCAAGAAACGTGCCATGATTGAAGTTGCTGAAACTTTGCTTTGGCCCAAACGCGGTAAAGCAGTGGGGACAAAGAAATTGGCCTCCTGTCCAAAGGGGAAAAACCTCCTTCTTTCTTCAATGCCGCCACAGGTATTTCGCAAAGATTATCTGGCCAAGTGTTCGTGGATTCAACAAGTCGGTATAATTGCACGAGACGTTGTATGCAAAGCGGGCCCAAAGCCTTCATTTCATGAACCTGCCAACCGTCAACACCACCAGCGCAAGGAGAGAGCTGTTGGATGACGAACTTTATGATGTGCTCATCAGTAACAGGTATCTGAAAAGGGCGCAATGCATCAAAGGAAGCGTCACTTGGCAGCGCATCCGGGAACATGTTGAGGAATTGCGTGTAATCCGGTGGAGCACGTCCTTCGTATCGATTGAAGATGGGACGCCATGCTTCAAGCATGAGCTCATGTAATCGACGATGTATCGTTGCAAATTCGCTTGGAGCCGTTTGAAAGCATGGTGTAGTGAAACAATTGTTGTTACGTAGCCAATTGTAGGAGTCCTTGCGCGTGTTGTTCCAATCGTGTATCATACGCTGCTTGAAAGTGTGAATACGATGATCCGCAACCTCCTTCTGAACATGATTGTATTCCACGGTAAGCTGTTGGCATAGATCATCAATAGAAGAATGAAGGTCCTCAAGTGGTGGAATGTGACTCCCAAATAGCCGGTGCCAGGAAGATTTAACGTTGTTATACAACGACACCAATTGCACATGGGCAGGTGAACCGTGTAATGGCATGGAGATGAACTTGCAACGTACTTGCGCAACTCGACGCCGAAGTTTCAAGATGGAAGCGGTCCGAATTGAAGCGGCGCCATCTTCTGGAGTGGAAGGCGGGGCATGTAAAGAAACCTGAGCAACTCGCGGAAATTTGCCCCTGCCAGTGTGTTTGCGACGAAAATCCAAACCTTGTTGCATGGCAAGCTTTAAACAAAACTGCTCAGATGATGTAGACCAAATGTCACATGCAAGATTGACGTCTTGGTTTTCAATGGCCGACCAGAAGTTGGTATCAGCAGCATCCCATACGGAACGTTCCAATTTGTGTACCACCTCATCGTCCGTAGACGGGAGAAGACCAAGTAGAGGTGCCGGTAATTTGTAAACCATCTTGGTGTCCACATGAAGTTGGAAATCCAAAGACAAATGTAAAGGGCAATGTTGAGGAATACCTGAATCGCGCAAGACCTCCAAGTTGACAACATGAGGCAAGAGAGCATCGTTGGCCAGCATTAAATCAATACGCGTGCGAATGTGGATGTTGTCGCCTTTCTGATAAGTCCAGGCGCTGTCGGTGTAGAGATGACCAAGGTCAAACAGCCGACCAGACTGAACCATAGAGCCAAGCGCTGGAGATTCAGAAGGTGAAGTTTGCAAGTCACCACAAATTAAAATAGGTACGTCACCTAAGGAAGCAGCACACTGGAGGATGGAATCCAAAAGCTGTTCGTTACGTTTGAATGCGTGCGGATTTTTGGGACCCGCTCCAACGTAGCCGTAAATGTTGAATACATGAAGTCCTCGAGTGCCGATTCCAATGGGAATGAAAGTATGGGTGCACCTGCCACGATCAAAAGTGGGAATGCAAGCATGAGAAACATCTTGCATCCGATGTGGCCGCCGTGTAACTGTAGCCAGTCCGCCGGCCTTTGCGTTCCATAACGAAACTTGTTTCTGAGAGCCAGAAAATTTGTAACTACAGGGAGCACCAAATTGAATGTCAAAGCCATCTTTATGTAAGGAGCGCTGCATCGAAGTTTGACCATGTTTGTTAAGAGTAAGCTCCTGACAAAAGTAATAAGTTGCATCAATTGAACGCAATGAACCCCAGTTTCGACGAAGCGAAGTGACGTTCGCAGAGAGCAGAGACATAGGGCCATCAGCGATGACGTCGGATGAAAAACCAGATCCGATGCCGATCAAAATAAACCAGACCAGAATTGGCAAAAATTTTCGTTGAAGAAAAGAGCATCTGGGAAAAACGCGCAAATATCGCCATGGACCAGAGAATAGTCACGTCGGCCTTTGCTTCCGCGGAGGAGATGGCTTGGCAGAAGCACTAATGGCCTCGAGAATGCGAGACTCCATCGCAGCCTGCTCCTGGCGGAAATTGTTGATGTTGTTCTGCACGGTACTCTCGAGAGTCTTGAGGTGCTCCTGAGTTTGTTGTAACTGCGAAGTCGTATTAGCCTGATGTTGCTGTAGAGATGCGTACTCTTGATGCAATTCCTGCCTCAAATTACGCGTGATCTCATTGACTTTGGTAAGCAAGGAATCTTCGGATTGTTTGATGCGATCCTCAACAACCTGTTGTACTCGAGGAACTGGTGGCGTAGAGTCAACCTGCATAGGTGTCGAAGGCGTACCCGCTTTGATTTTGGCTTGCTCAATATAATCAGCCCAAGGGTCGGTGTAGTAGTTGCTTTCGTTGCTGCCGTAACCTAACAAAGGGTTGAACCGTCAGCCTAATACCAAAAACCACCTATTGACCAGAACGAGATTTGCCGCGCGAGGGCTTTGAAGCAGGGCAGTGTTGGATCATCCAACGACGCAAGTTTTTCTTGGTTGTAGAGGCTTTACATCTTCTGCAAGACGGATTGTCGATGTCGGTGATGACGTGCATCTCATTAGCTACCGCTTGCTTGTTGTGCAACTCAACATCGTTCTGCAGGGTTAGGGACCTAGTCTTAGAAAGGGTGTCTGCACGGGTGAGGGAACCCCTTTGGTCAACTTCAGAAGAGAGCTCTGGGCACAAGGACTCGGCAAATTTGAGTGTATAAAAGCGATGCACAGACTTGCCGCACCATTTGCAAGTAGGATCCTCAGCGGAAGCCACATGATGGCGAGCCTGCTTTTGAGAAGTCTTGTTCAAGGCCGCAAGCTTGGCATCCAAATCAGTATTAAACCGATGCGTGCGCTTCTGACCTCTGCTCAGGGGAGCATCGCCGCTTTCAAGTGACTCAAGAAAAAGTTTAACTGCACGGGCAGCCTCAAGATCAGAGCCAAAGAGGCCAATGCTATGTCTCTTGCCGTTGAGGGACAACGGCTTTGTATCTCGAAGCTTTCTCTTGGAATTGCACATATTGATATTTAGATCCACCAGGTCTCAAGGAGGTACTGAGGAGCAAGCCTTCATCATCATGAAAGGCACGTAGGGCCACCTGTTCTTGCTCTGAAGCAAGTTGCGGAGAGGGCTTGGCACCAGCATCATCTGCAGGATTACTGGCATCAACTGCAAGTTGGTCCTGTTTAGCTTTTTTCTTTTTCGGGGTTGGGGTAAACGGCTTAGGGTCAAAATTGTCCGGAGCAGGCAGTTCAGCAGCGGCGTTGCGCGCCTTGACAATGGCAACCATCATGCTATGGATGCTCGCTGCAAAAGGACACGGTGAAGGTGGCAAATCTGACGGTCTGGCATGAAGATTACGGCAGGAGTGAAGATGAACCATGGCATCAGCCTGTTCAATCGTCAGCGGGAAAATGCCAGTGCGCAAAGTGCAGGGAGGCAAGTCCTTGCAAAGGTCGAGCTGCTGCTGAGTCAGAAACGAGAGCCGCGTTGACTGCCAGTGCGTACACTCCCAAAACAAGTGTTGCACCGTTTCTGAGGCGCACCAACAGAAAGGACAGGCATTATGGGGAGCATTACCAGCGTGACACTTGGAAACCTGAGTGGTAACACCACCCGCAAGAATTGCTCGAAGGATACCCTGGTCATAAGATAACAGTCGATTGGAATTAAGAACTTGAAGTGTGGTGGACTTGTCCACGCCTTGCTGGATTCCTCGCATGTCTTTACGTGCCGCAGAGGCGCGACGCCAAAGCAGAGAGCTGGTGCCCCAGCGCAGCAAGTGCAGAAAGTAATCGTCGAAAAAGTCAGTAAGGTTCAGCAAATGTGTCTGGCATGCCCAATTGGAACCTTAAAAACAAAGGGCTCTACCCACTCCCATCCAAGCTCTTTTGAGGCCTGAAAGAGAACAGGGAGTGGGCCAACAGCAGTAGACCTGAAATCTTTAAACTTGTCCCTACCGCTCTGCGTGACATGCCAAATGTGCTGCCACATGGGTGTCAGATAGCTGTGCTTCTGAAGTTGTCGTCTGGCTACAATGAAGGGACGTAGAAGCTTGATCTGACAGGGGTCCGTCTTATGACCCTTAAAACAGAGGGAGAAAACTATGTCACTCGATTTGCTCGAGCGCTTCGACCAGACTGCTCTAGTCACAGTTTTTCGGACCCTCTTTTCAAGCTTGCGAGTACACGAGCCAAGTTCAACACCGTAAGAAAACTTAGTAGCCCTAGCGGTGGCCAAAAGAATGTGTCTCGCTGCGAAGCTGAGTGGACACATGGCAATGCGCTTAGCTACTGTTTCATACTTAAGAATGCGTTCATTGGCAACAGCTCTTGCACGCTTCTGAGTAAAACTGAGCTGGCCTCCAAGTAGCTTGTCTTCCTTGACAACCTTAGCATCAAAACCATCCAACTGAATGGTAGCGAGCTGCTTCCTGGCAGTGGTTGTAGTTGCGAAAAGGGAAGTCTTTTTAAGATTTAGAACAGCATCGGTGGCAGCGTCAAACTTTTGCGAAATATGGATCGCGGCACGCAATTGCGGCAGATCAGTACTGCGCATGTTGCGGTCGTCAACATATCCGCCTACAGAACACTGGGTAAGATCGGCATGACTAGTGATGGAATGAACCCACGCTGCAATCAGAGCGTTAATGCGGAGGATGGCAAGAGGACATCCTTGTGAGATGCTATTTGTGTTACCGAACTTAGGGCCAACCGAAGAGCCTAATTTAAACCGACGTTGAATATTTGCTGCATACGAATACATAGGTTTCAAGACATGCAACGGCATTCCCAAGTCGGTCAAAAGGCCTTGTTCAACGGGCCAAGCAACCAAATCGAAGCATTTAGTGTAGTCAAAGAGGACTCCAAAGAGAGGTCGCTTGGTGTGGGCACAGAGTTCAGCTTCAAGCGCAAGCTCGTAAATGGCATCAACAGAGTCCCTACCAGGAGCACCTCCACGGAGTTGCTCTGGTAGCCATTGAACATGCCAAGGCCGAAGCTGCAAAAATCGCGTACGAGCCCAAACCCTATATAAAATAGGAGTAAGGGAAATAGGCCTAATATCAAGGGGACTATTGCCTTCACCCTTACGGAGAGACGCAACCGGGACTTCTTGCAAACTGAGCGGCCATTTTCCATGAAGCTCAATGGCATTATAAATATCCGTAAGGAGTTCAATTGCAATCGTGCTAAGGGACTGCAATTCTCGAACGTTCCAGCCGTCTGCTCCAGGAGCTGTGACTTCGAGAGACTTGATCGTAGCAGCGATTGTATCACTGTCAAGCGACGGCAAAGTGAAAGGACATTGTGAGGTGTGCTGACACTGCGGAGGGAGTGCATTGGGAAAGGATTCAAGAAAGTCAGCATACTGCGGCGGGTTCCGCTGAACGTATCGATTGAAGAGTGGCGACCACTCTTTGAGCATCAAATCGTGTAGCTCAGCATGCTTCGTGACATACTGATGTTTTTGGGACGGGTGCTTAAAACAAGGGGTTGTAAAGGGCTCCAAGTCACGAACCCAAGCAAAGGTGTGTTTACGACGACCCTCACTCCAATCTTTGATCAGATGCTCTTTATGTTGTTCAAGACGATGGTCGCGAATTGACTGCTGATAATCGGTGATGCGCTTGGACAGCACACCTTGCAGGTTGCACGCATCCTGAAAATCAGAGGGTTGCTGAGCAAAACAAGCATTACAACCCGGAAACAAGCGAGTCCAAGTCTGCTTAACATTCATACACAAATTGAGTAGTTGCTCGTATGCAGGTGAACCATGCATGGGACATGAGCGCACTTTAGAACAAAGTTGAGATAGTCTCCTTTCAAGCTTGATCATGGCAGCAAGACGTGCATCAGCAGCACCGTACTCGTGTGAAGCAGGGGGAGCCTGTACGGGTGTCTGCACAACTTTAGGCGTCAAACCTCTGCCAAAATGCCTACGAGTAAGTTTGCCCTGCTGCAAAACATGTAGAAAGGCACAATAACGTTCGGCCTGCCTTGACCACAAGTTGAAGGCTGAATCAACAACACCAAGGGTCGGTGTAGTTGCCACCTTGGTGGGCTGTCGGAACCAAACAAAGGGTTACCGCCAGCGCTGTACCAGCTGTTTAAACAGACATCTTGCAGTGCTGCTTCATGAACTGACGAGCTCTGCCTCTGGCGACTTGCTTCTTGCACCATTTGCATGTAGGATTGCAAAAATTGATGATGAAGTGTTTGCTGTTTGCTTTTGCTGAGCGATTGTGAGTATGGATGTCATTGTCGAGGGCTGCTTGTCTGGTGTTTGAAAGAGTAGTAGCTCTGGTAGTAGATCCTGCGGCATCCGCTTTCTCAGAAATGTGATTGCATTGTCTGGAGGCAAAAGTCAAGATATGATATCGCTGCACTGATTTGTCACAGAAAGTACATACTGGTGTGTTGACGTCAAGGATTTGGTGACGTCCTTCAGCTTTGGCAGTCTTGTTGAGCTTGTTGAGCTCTTCTTGTAAATGTTTGGTGTGCTTGTCCTCGCGTTTCGAACCGCGTGTAAAGGGAGCTTCTCCAGAGTCCCATCGCTCCAAAAAATCCTTGACGGCTCGTGCGGCCTCCTCTTCAGTATCAAAAGGACCAATGGAGTGTCGCTTGGAGCCACGAGGGATAACAGCACGATAAACGCTTTTCTTCAGCTGGACATATTGAAAACGGGAACCACCAGGACGTAGTGAAGTAGAAAGCAGCAGGCCATCGTCATCGGTTTTCGGATTTCTGTGGTCAGGAGCCGCAGCAGGAGGTTGTTTCGGAGCAACTTGTTCGGAATCATGTCCAGACTCCCGCTTCGTTTTGGGAGTCTTTTTGTAAATGTCCGGATCAAAATCATCAGGTGGATCAGCAGCATCGGTATTGTTGCGTGCTTTGATGATATCTACCATCATCTCTTGCATCTTCGGCGCATGAGCGTAGTGGTGGGTAGGCCAGTTTCTGGAAACAGTCGGGTCCTCGTGCTGTTGAACAATGTGTGATGACTGCTGTTCTGTAAGAAGGAATAAGCCAGTGCGCATCGTGCAACTAGGGAGTTGCAGGGTTGTCTGGAAGAGCTGTCCAGGCAAATGTTCGTCTCGAAGATGTTGCCATTGTGGACATTGCCAAAATACATGGTGTATTGTCTCATCCGCACACCAGCAAAACTTGCATCTGGGGTGATTGGTCTGGTTGGACTTGTAAAGTGAGTGTTGCGTGGAAACGGCACCAGCGAAGATCGAGCGCAAAATGCCTTTGTTGTATTGCGCATAGGTTTTCCGTCCGTAAAGTTGAAGGGTGGTGGTTTTGTCAACGCCAATCTGGATGCCCTTCATGTCTTTTCTGGTAGTAGCGGCTCTCGCCCAAAGAGCACGGGAAGCCCCAAGTCGAAGAATGTGAAAGAAGTAGTCGTCAGAGTTGTCCAAAATGTTGAAGGTGATGGTCTTGTTGTGGCCAATGGGAACTTCGAAACAGAAAGGCGGTGCCCAGGTCCACTGCATACTGTTTGCAGCTTGTTGGATAATGGCTAAAGGTCCAACAGCATTCGTCCGTCCGTCTCGAAAGCTGGCTCGTTTCCGTGCCGTAAAAGCAAAGATGTCCTGCCAGAGTTGACGAAGATCTTGATGTTTAAGAAGCTGGCGTCGAGCAATTTGAAAAGGCTTGATCATACGAAGTTGAGCTGGATCGAATCTGTGTCCTCTGTGACAGATGCTCAATACAACATCAATGCACCTGGAGCTCCGTTTGTGCCAGAGTGCATTCACGATGGTGGTTCTGAGAGTTCTCTCGAGGGACACTGAGCAAGGACCGAGCTCGAGTCCGTAATGATATTTGGGGGCACCGGCAGTAGAAAGCAGGATTTCTCGAGCTTCGATGTTCAGCGGACACAAAGTTGCGCGTCTTGCAACTTGAAGATACTGGTTGGCTCGATGATCCGCGAGCTTTCTGGCCCGTCTCTTTGTGAAAGAAAGGTGTCCTCCAAGTAGTCGCTCGTCCGTAGCTGAGTGCAAGGCCTTTTGTTGATACGTCAGGTGTTCAACTTGTTGACGTCCGGCAGTGCTGGTGGCGAAAACGACTGTTTTGCTATGTTCAATAATTGCGTCCATTGCGGCGTCAAATTGCTCCGTGACGTCAATGGCTTGTTGAAGTTCACCGACGGATGTGGATCTGATACTCCTGTCATCAACGAAAGCTCCCAGCTTGCAGGTAGGCAAGGATGTGTTTTTGCTGATGCAATCGCTCCAGGCTGCAATGAGACAGTTGATGCGTATGATGTCTAGCGGACATCCTTGCATGATGGAGTTTGTGTTCTTCATGACGGGCCCCACGGATGATCCCAGTTTAAATCGTCGTCTCGTGTGCCGAGCAAAGTAATACATTGATTTGCTTACCTGTGGAGGCAGTCCAAGATCACGAAGAAGGCCCTCCTCGATGCTCCATGGTATGTTGTCAAAACACTTCTGGAAATCGAATAAGATGCCAAACAAGGTGTTTCTGGAGTGGGAGTGTTCAATGTCCAGCGCCAAATGATAGTAAATGTCGGTGGTATCTCGGCCGTGCACACCGCCTCGTAACGAGTCTGGAATCCAGGAGTCCATCCATGGACGAAGTTGTTTGAAGCGGACTCCAGCCCAAAGCCGGTATATGTGGGAAGCCAGTGAAATAGGACGTATGTCCCGTGCTGACTCGCCTGTTTTCTTCTTGATTGTTGCTACAGGAACATCAAGTAGACAGGTAGGCCAGATGCCGTGGAGCTCAATGGCATTGTAGAGTTTCGCCAAGTTGTGTAGACTTCGTTTGCCTAAGCACTTGAGCTCGTGAACCTGCCATGCATCGGCACCAGGGGCGGAAATTTTGAGCTTGTGTAAGTGCTCGTAGACAATGTCCTCATTGAAGGGCGGTGCGTCAAATGGCGCAGTATTCGAAAAAGGAAGGTTGTTGTCGAGAATACCACCAAACTGTTGTTTGAAGTCATCGTACTGTGGAGGGTCACGGTCACTGTATCTGTTAAAGATTGGCTCCCAAGTTTCGAGCATCATCTTGTGCAAATCCTTGTGTTTGGTGGCGAAGCCATCAGGTACCTTGAAGCATGGAGTGATGTACGGGTCCGCGTCTTTTAGCCATTTGTATGTTTGCTTTGTTGTACCACGCCAATCCTCAATGAGACGCTGACTATGTCGCTGGAGGCGTTCTTGGATGAGTTGTTGTTGCAGAGTTTGTATTCGATGATGTAGACGATCAAGTAGACAGTCGATGACTTTGGCTTCGACTGGGTAGGATTCGGTGATGGTGCATTGGTCCTGACAAAGTCGTTGCCAGGAACGTTGTATGTTGCAGATCAAGTCGTCATATTGTTTGCGAGCGCAAGCGGTTGTGGTGCATGTTGATGGATTTTTGCATCGCAATTGTTGTAGTCGCCGTTGTAACTTCAGCATGCCTGCAATGCGGACGGTGTGAGCGCCAAAAGAGTGGTCGCCCTGGGGCGCTTGGACGGGACAACTAACAACTTTAGGAAAACGGCCACGACCATGGTGTTTCTTTGTAACCGCGATGTCCTGTGACTCCGCAAGTTTGAGACAATAATCCTCCGCAGCAGTGGACCAGATCTCGAAAGCGGAATCGATGTCTCCATTTTTGAGAGCAGAAAGAAAAGGTATGTCCCGTTTGTTCCAGATGGAGTTTTCGATGATGTCACCCTGTCGTTCATCACGAGCAGGTTGTAGGCCGAGCAATGGGGCGGCAAGCCGATAGACCTGCATGTGATCAAGCTCACGTGGAAAGTCCAGCTTGAGTTGCAAAGGGCAGTGACCAGGTAGGCCAGTGTCACGAAGGATTTGGACATCACGAACATGAGGAAGCATGATAGAGTTGCAGATGGCAAGGTCGATTCTTGTGCGTATCTTTCCTTCGGAGTCCTTCTGGAAGGTCCATTCCGAGTTGGTGAAGATGCTTCCGAGATCGTGCCAAGCGCCAGTTTGCAACATCGAGCCCAGCATATGGGAGTCAGCAGGGTTCTTTTGAAAGTCGCCGAGTAGGAGAATAGGTGTGTCACCGAGCGTCGCGACATATTCGAAGAGGTCCCCCAACAACTTTTCGTTCAATTTGTAAGCATGCGGACATTTGGGGCCGGCGCCGACGTGTCCATAGAAATTGAAAACGTGATATCCACGTGTTCCAACATACATAGGTAACCAAGTTTGCGCGATTTTGTCACTCATGGAAGCTTGATGTGTGGATGTGACAGTATTCATACAGAGCGGCTTCTTTGCAACAGTGGCAAGCCCGCCGGAGCGGGCGTTCCATGTGGAGATACGTGTTTGTTTATCGCTGAACTTGTATTCGCAAGGTTTGCCAAAGGCACATTGATAACCGCTGTTGTTTAGCAGCTTGTTAATAGTCCTCTGGCCAGTCATGTTCAGTGTGGTCTCCTGTAGAAAGTAGCAATCGCAATCGAGGCCTTCAAGAAGACACCAGTTTTTCCGCATCGACGTGATGTTGGCAGAGACAATGGTGGTAGATGATGTTGGCGGTCCATCACCAGCACAGTCACTGGAAAATTTAGGTCCAATGTGCGTAGTCACCCACGAGGGCGCATAACAAGCAGTATGAACGAAAAGGGTGAGCACAAGCCGAAAATGACGCGGATAGCGCCATCGAAAATGTTGTCGTGTCGCCAGTGAGGCGCGTGGTGTCCTCGAGCAGGAAAAAGAAGTACCGTGAGGGAGTAGTCAAAGGTCGTTTCCATCACCTTCGCGTCCTTTCTTTCGTGGGGGACTGGCCTGTGCAGAAATGGCTTGCAAGATTTTTGTTTCCATGCTGGACTGTTGTTGTCGAAGTTCCTGTAAATGTGTGAACATCGTGTTGAGCTGCTCGCTGTTGGCGGTAAGTTGGGATTGAGCCGAATCATGGTTGTCACGTAGTGCTTTGATGTTGTCTTCGACGTTCTTTTCGAAAGCTTCTTGTCGTAATACAACTTGCTTGACGGAATCGTCGTGCCTCTGTTTCATTTCAGAGAGAAGGCCGTCAACGTGTTGAAGAATTTTGGACTCATCAGTGGTAGTAGCTAAGGACTGCGGGTTGATCTTGTTGATGTCGGATTGTAAGGAACTACGAAGGCCATCTACCAAGTCAGTGACCTTCTCCATCACCTGTTTCTCCATATGTTGGATGCGATCTTCAACGACCTGCTGAACCTTAGGAGCGTGTGTTTGCACTGGAGCTGAAGGTGCTGTAGGCGAAGAAGTGGTGGTGATGGTGGCTTTCACGACATTTGCCCATGGATCATTCAAAGTCAAGGGATCGATTCCACGGTTGCGCTGCTTCTCAGTTTTGGTAGCTGAAGTAGTTGGTCTTGTTTGGACATCTCCAACAATGGTGACAGGGGAGCCGTCGCAAACCATGTAATCACCAGGGGGTTGGTCGGCGCTTCCAACCAACCATACGATGGTAGAAGAGTTCAACGCCCATGACTTGATGGGAATGACGTTCCAGCCCCAAGCTTTGAGGCCTTTGGCAATTGCAGCAGAAGAGGTACCCATTGGCAAGCCCTGCACTTGATAGTATTGGTCAGTGATGATCGAGATATTGTCATCAGTGAACATGCCATCTTTGCAAAGTTTTTTGCGTGCCTGTTCGATACCATTGGCTTGAAATCTGATTGATTTGCTACCTGTGTTGCTTCTGTGGACTCCTCCGAAATGAGGTAGGCTTGTAGCTTGCTCTAGCGCATCGGTGAAGGTATTGATCTTGAGGTGGGAACTGTGGATGAGCGCAAAGGTGTACTGTGCATTGACTCCCTCACGAACCTTCTCCTTGATGTAGATTCCGTTTGGTCCGCTGCGTTTGAGAATATCATATCCGTGTGCAAGTGGAACACGTGCCAAGCCATACATGATTTGCGAATCCCAGCCAATGGCGTAGGTTTGTATCACCAGGGGTGGTGAAAGAGCAGCTCGTAAAATAGAGTTGAAAGCTTGGGAGCCTTGCCTTGATACGTCATTGCGAAGGTGAGGTTCAAGCTGGTCCACCTCGATTTGCACAGAGATTTCGAAGGTCTCAGGAGGCTTTTCGAAGGACGCATCAGATTTGGAGCTGCTGATGTTCACGGGTTCACCCAGTTGAACAATGATGGCTGTCTTGGGCAATGTCTTGTGTGTTTTGGTGTCGTAGCATGCCAAAGTGCACTCTTTGAAAGAGGATTTTCTCTGCTCCAGAATACGCTTGATTTCAGCTGTCGGCGGTGTCACCATAGCGAGTGGCGAGCGACTGGTGATGTCTAGAAAACATTCAAATTCTCCAACGCCTGCGAAGAAAACGCCCTGCGCAATGTTGTTCACGTCTTTAAAGTCGATGGTGGCGACTGGTTGGTTGGAGATGTCAACGAAGATGCCGTCTGGCTTAGGTTGGAGCTCATGCCATAGACATCTGTCCTGGTGCTTGCTCCTTCCTTTTCCAACTCCTTTTCCTCCTCTGGTTGTGGTAGAAGATCCAGTGATGAGTTTGCCGATCTCGAACAGCATGTTCTGCTGGAAGTAATCATGCGCTAGGTTCTTCTTCGTGGAGTCTGCGAGCAGAGCTTTGATGTCGGCGTTCACGGTGGGGTGATTCAATCCAAGTGTCTGACACACATCACGAAGTTCTTTGGCGGAGATGTTGCCGTTGAGAATGTGCATAAGTTTGTTCAGTGCAACTTGAGAAAGCGACCACATGTACTCGAAGAGAGGTTTTCGTACTGAGTAGGAGAAAGAAAAAGTGTGAATGCTTATGCGATCTCTGACATGTTCCAACTGGCATCGTTTCCGTGGGTGAGCATATCGTCTGTCTCCGATCTTTCTTGCTCCGATAATGCACCGTTTCCTGCAAGCGGTGGTGCCGCTCACGTACATGAGGAGCTCAAGCAACATTGCAAGTGGTGCGACGGTGATTAGCAACACACTGGCTTTCATCATTGTTACCAAGGATTGAAACACGTCGGTCATGACTGTCATCTTGCATGCGAACTTCCGAAAAACTGTTGAACAGAGCATGAGAAGGAGCACAATGTAAGTCGACAGCGGACAAATACAAAGCAGGCTATCCGAGCATCTTGGGAAGACCCGCATAGGCAGCGAGTCCATCCGGACTCCACGGAGACTGTGGTCGGGACGTGCGCTCAGAGGAGTCCCACCAAGGGTCGGTGTAGGTGTAGTCTTTGTCGAAGTGCAGCAACCTAACACGGGTTATCAGCACCGAAAAAGCCCCGAAGGGCGGTTAAGCGAAGAGAGCTTCAAAATCAGCCATGCCCAGGCCCAGGGCACGGCTTCCGCATCCACGTGCGCGCATAGGACCGCGCCACAGACCGATTGCAAACGGTACACTTAGGTCTCGCAAGAGCACCGTCAGACATGTCAATAACATGCAAGCCCCGACGGCGAGCCTGCGCGTTATGAGCACGAACGTGCTCAACGAAAAAATTCTGTCTGGTGGTAGACAAAGTATTAGCACGAGTGTGGGAACCTCTCTTATCAACCGAAAACCCGGCGGGGGGGCCTAACTTAGGGCAAACCAAAGTGCAAGCACGTGCCAAGTCATGACTGGAAAACTCCGCCGCGCAGGCGTCACACGTGAGAAGTCGAGCACCAACCGAAAAGACATGCTTGCCCTGGGTCCGCGCATCAGCATTGTGGGCGTCAACCCGCCTGTGCAGAACCCGCACCGCAGCGACTGATGCAGCCTCACTCTTCGATAAGCGCTCAACTTTGCCCGTTCGCTTGAAAGTCTGGACGGCAACCGCCGCCTCACGGGCACTCGGGTATACCCCCAGATTGGTTGTCTTCCCGCGAATTGTGATGCGGGCGCTAAATGTACCGGTCTTGCGGTAGACCACATGAAGAAATTTCCCGTTCGAGCTGAGAGGAAGATCATCAGAGTCGCGCTCAGGGCGCTCGACGCCAGCTAACGCATTGTGTGTAGCCTTTCGCTGAAGGCGGCGCGCCCGAGCAGCAGACTTGGCGATATCGAACCGCGCAGGTGCCAAGTTGTCAGTAGGAGGGGGGTCCTGGTCATCCCCACCCTCATCATCCGACTCGCCTTTGTGCACCGTGCGGTGGCGTGGCTTGTACAGACCGAGACGTTCGGACTCCTTGTTACGTGCAGCAACAACCGCCGTCATGCACTTGTGCACTTCACACGCCAGAGTGTCATGCTCTTGAAGAGCAGATCGGTCTGCCAAAGGAAAACGGCGAGCTTGCGCAGCAGCCAATGCGAGGGCGTGGGCACCGTCATTACCTATCTTATCGGAGAGGGAGACTAAACCCTTCTCAACATCAACCGCAGAGGCATGGCCCTTAACTTTGACAACCTGGAAAAAACCCGGGGGCCGGTTACTTAAGATTGGCTGGAGAAGAAGCCAAATGTCGGTGCCGGGACAGTCAAGAAAACCCTCGCTTGCAAAGTGAGCAAAGTGATCAACCACATCTTGGCAATCCGAGTGCACACACAGAGGGCGATCGGCAGAGCACAGCACGGCAGCAAGAGCTGCAAGCTCGGCCCGATAGGCCGTTTGCACAGGGCCCAGCACGGGAAAGGACAAGTTACAAGGGCTGTCACAAGCAAAGAAGACGCCTGACCCTGTCCGCGTGATGCGGTGGTCAAGATGGTCAACCGCGGACCCATCCACCCATACGGAAAGCCGCTCGCATTCAGTGGACGGGAAAATAACTGCGGGGAGGGAAAAGATCTCGGCCCTCAGCGAAGCGTCAAAAGCAATCACGGAAGGCGGCAACAAGAAAATGCCACACAATCTGGTGCAAGGCTCCCACTCACGCACAACCTCTACTTCAGGCACGTCGAAGGCAGCTCGCGTCTTATTCCAGGCAGGGCACTCCCAGTACAAGTGAAAAAGCGTTTCAGGAGACCGCTTGCAAAATGGACACGTGCCATCATCGACCTGTTTGCGGGCGCACAAAGCGTGTTGTGTCAGGACCCCCTGGCACAGGACAGACCTGAGCACCCCCTTATCGTACTGGGAAGGGTTGCACTTGGCACAACTGTTGCCGGCAAAGAACAAGTTGCAGGCGCGGAAGTCAACGTTCCACGACAGGCCTTGAAAGCCCGGGCGACGAAGAGCGCGCAGCAAGACACTCATACGAGCATAAAGGCTAATGCGCTCACGAAAAAACTGCTTGCAGCAAGTAAGTAGTGGAAAAACCTCAGAATCGGACTGCAGCTTGAAAGCGTG